GATGATAATATATATTTATATCTATTTTATATTAAGATATTTTGTTTTTAATTATTAAGCTATGCAACCGCAGGTGCGCGAATCATCTAAGCTTACATTCTATCACCTAAAAGAAAAAACTATCCCTTTCCTTTTAGAAAATGGCATAAAAGATTTGCTTATAAAATGGTAACACTATTAACTTTTATGATTAAGGTCTATTTATGGTAGAGTTTTTGCCCAAGCGTACTCATTTGACCAGTACTTTAACCCTAGTGATGCCTATTCTTTTGGATATGTAAGCTATATTTTAACCAAATGAAAGTCATTTTTTAATTCTTCTGAAGTGGTTTCAACTCTTAAGTTTTCTGGAGGACCCTTAGGTTTGTTTCTTTTTACCATATTTTTAAATCTAGTCGATGTTGCTAATGTTATAATAACTCCGGTGCCATGTACCTTGACATCAATGTCACTTTTTAACCGACTCAAAAATTGTGTGGTACATGAGACAGGAAAAATTATATCATCTTTTGACTGCGTATACGATTCAATTTCAATTAGTGATGAGCTCCGCAAGGTTATTCTGTTTTGTAAATAAACTTCTTAGATGCTTCTTATTGAAGAATCTGAATACTATTACCTTTATAACAAAAAAGAGCGTGATGAATTTCTTTTTAGGCTATTTAAATTTGTATGTATCGGTGGAGAAATATGCCAATTTGAATCAGATATTAATGCTTACTTCAATTTTACCAAAAGTTTGTATAAAAATTTGATAAGGTACTTATATTAATAATGATTGCTTTCACAGTGTAAAGAAAGATACAGTATCGGATAGTATAACAGTTATCTCCCAAGTTTATGAAATAAAATGCTACGTAAGTTTCCTATACATAAATATCCACAATGCATTTTTTATAATGTATTATTCACATATTCTATCATTTTAGGATACAGCTGGAAATTTGGTTTATCCTGCTTCAACTGAACATATAAATACATTTGGATACTTAGTTATTGATCCTTTAAAACGGAATGTCATCGCATTTTCGCATGAATATGGTTGTGGATCTTTTGGATGATATAATAAATTGAATTATCATTCTAAACCTAATAATTTTTGAGTGATTTTACACAGTGTTGCCTAAGCAGGCATATAAAAATGAGCTTATTTGCTGTAGAAGGGGCGCTTGTTCAATTTTCTTTTTAATAAGCTACTTCTAGGATTGAGGTCTCAGTGACTGCATTCTTTAGCTAGATTGAATTCTCTTATTTATCGGCTCTTTTCCACTTATTTCTATTTATATTCAAATCGATTAAATTTTCTTTAATCATAAACCTCATGCCTAACATCATCTGCATTGCGATTCTGCGAATTCAACCGAATCATTGCGAACCTTTATTCCACATTACGATCTAATAGTTGCTTCTATTTTCATATTATCAATCACTATCATTTTACCTACACATTTGCTAATATTTCCACAATTAGAAAAGGTCTGCCATATAGATAAGAGCTTTTATGCGTAAATGAATATGGAATGATAAGGTGAATAAATATATATATATATATATATATATATATGAATGTATAAATACAATCAAAATGTTTTTGGACATCTCTGGTAAAATTGTATATTTCAATGAATCTTAATTCAAGCATAAATCCACTGGGTACAGTATTAGATGTGGCAAATTTCTGCAAATATTTGCATTAAATTATTATTTATTCTTAAGATCTTTACATTTGAATCAGGCATACCAAAAATTTAAAAATAATTAATATTACTCTTACATACCTTTTGCTAGAGCCCTAAAGATCCAGGAACTATTTGGGTATGAAATTAGAGTGGGACACTAAAAAGGTTAAGCAAATACTCTAAACATCCTACTCTCCAATATTATGATTTTTTCTCGGTATACCTTTAAAAAACTAGCGGCTTTTTTACAGACAAGAAGGTGTCTAAGTCAGGACAAGATCTGGAAAACCGATAAAATTAATGGTATGGCCCCAAGAAACTCGTTATATTTGAGTTAAAAAGATCCATGGAGTTTTTAAAACGGCCTTTGAGTATTTTTGACTGTCGCTTGATTATTTTTATTAAATCCGGTAGCACAACTTTGATTGCATTATAATTATATACATGAAAGAGTTGCCAAATGAGACTGCGATGACCCAATTATAGTTATCTAAAATTGTATGCAAGCTCTTTTATAAGCCATAAAGATTTTGGAACAAACTGTAGTATACTAAATGTAATTGATATTTATAACAGACTAAAATGGGAGGCATTTCTTTATTTTTCTAGTATGTATGGGGAACATTTGTGGTTTTAAAAC